TTTGTTTTTACTTTTTCAGTTTTTTTATTTATTCAAATACTTTTATAATTAAAAGAAAAATAAAAAAGAAAATTTCTTTCTCGCTCTCTCTCTCTCTCTCTCCATTAGAACCTGAAGCTCTCTGCATCTACTCCGAGCATCTAAATCACCACCCCTCCACTATTTTTTCCAGAACCACCACCTACAGCTACCATCACCCCCTCTTGTCACCACCACCATCAGATTTCACCATTATAAAAGAATAAAAAATTAGAAATCCGTAACGCCCCATGTCTTTGTGATTCATGCATGTTTATGTGTTAGGTGTTATGTGTTTCGGGGTAAGCCCGATGCCGGGGAAAACCCGATGTATGTTAATTATTATGCCATGAGTTATATATGTTCCAGGGCAAGCCCGATGTATGATAGTTATATGTTATGATTATGTGTTCCGGGCTTCGGTTCGATGTCGGGGCAATCCCAATGCAGATTATATGTTTATGATATATGATATGTTGTGTATGTGTCGGGGTAAGCTCGATACCGGGGTGAGCCCGATGCCCGATGCGGTCGGATACCGGGGCGAGCCCGATGCCGGGCAGGAGTCCGATGTCGGGTAAGCCGATGACGGGATTCGTCCCGATGCAGTTGGGAGTGGTCTTAGAGTTATGTGATTGTTATATGTTATGTGTATGGTATGTGGTAGTCTGGGGGAGCTCACTAAGCTTCGTGCTTACAGTTTCAGTTTTGGTTTCAGGTACTTCAGCTAGCAAGGGGAAGAGCTCGGGATGATGGCATGACACACACCACAGTTTTTCTTAGTCTGGGAGTTTACTCTGATATTTTATATGAGATTGTGATATTATAACAGTTTTTATGAGATTTTGAGATACATGTTTCATGATTCTATACTATGACAATGATATTTATGTTTGATAAATGATTTTGAAAACGAAAATTTTGGCTAGTATTTTGGGGATGTTTCAAAATCATTTTTGTTTCTTGTTTTATCTTCTTGTAAAAGAAAAGTTGATCAACTATGATCATCAAATATTAAACAATGATAACCAAAATCAAATTAGAAATCAACAATCTATCTTTGAATGTTCATCGATTTTAA